TCTATTAGAATGCCGTCTGATAGTTCCGTCCTGGCTATATCTGAGCCCATTTAGGCCTACACAAGTAGCCAGAACCCTACGCTCCCACTTCCTAAGCCTTTCCATTTGGTGTGATGAGATGTCATACCAGACTGGAAAGGCGTAGGCAATTATCGGCCGGATAATCTGTCGATATATCAGCAGCTTTACTTCGGGAGTTAGCCCGCCGCGCATCTTCAACAAGCCATGATAGCTGAAGAAGACCTTTTTTGCTCTAGCCAGGATAAAATCTATATGCCTGTTGAAGTCAAATTTCTGATGAAAAATGACTCCCAGGTATTTTATCCTGTCCTTTACCTCCACGATATTAAGACCAATTTGTAGGACCGGACGGTAGGTCCTATAACTTGGCAAAACATATCGTGTGCTACCCGTTATCATTATAGCCGAGCACTTTTCGCCATTAATCTTTAGACCCCATAAGGTAAAGAACCTATCTAGGATCGCAAGATAATCATTCAGCTGTGCTTCCACTGTGCGAGCCAGTGGACCTGTAAACGCCAGAAGCACGTCATCGGCATAAGATAATGCTAACCCTCCATGAGGAGGTTGTGGCATATCACTGACGTAGATGTTATATAACATCGGCCCGAGGAGTGATCCTTGGGGTACGCCTGCCAGAAGGGGTTTTCGACTAGAGAGTCTCTCACCAACCTTCACCCTGTAGAATCTATCAGCTAGAAAACTACCTACTAACCTGCAGGTTTGATAATCAAAACCAAACTGCTGCAGTTTGTACAATAATCCTTGATGCCATACGGAATCAAAGGCCTTTGAAAAATCTAAGCCCACAGCAATAGTTCCTTGTCTATTGTTGAGACCTGTGGCTACATACGAGGAGAAGGACGTAAGGGCATGGACAGTGGACAGGCCTGCCCTAAACCCAAACTGATTGTCCTTTAAAATCCTCTTATCTTCTACTATTATTTTGATCCTATCTAATATGAAGGATTCAAAGAGTTTGCCAAAGCTCGATAAAAGTGATATCGGCCTATAGCTACCACATTGTTCCCGGGGTGAGCCCCTTTTATATATGGGAACCATCATGGCCTCTTTCCACGCCCTAGGAAAGTATCCCAGGTTCAGACAGTGATTAAATAATACTGTCAAAAAACTAAATATTACCTCGCCTGCCTTCTTTAAGGCAGTATCCGGTATTTTGTCTAAGCCGCAGGATTTACGTGCTGGTCTTCGGGCTAAGGCCCTCCCCACACTACCGGCGCGTAGAAATCCACCCTCGTTCCAACGAGTGGCATCATCTACAAAAGCCCCATTAGCAGAAAATGTCTCGCTAAATACAACCAAAGGAGACCGATCGTTGATCCTCTCCGCAGCTCGATTAACAGAGTTGCGGAAAGAATCAAATTCTCCAGGTACCCGATTAACTGGGCCACCTGAAAAATTTTCAATCGATCCACTATTGGCCAGCGAAACACCCTGCACATGGTTTGCCAAGGCTTCGGCCTTTTCGCTGTCGTCCGTCAAAAGTCGCCCTGTAAGGTCGATTAACTGACCTACAGGTTCTTTATTTTCCAGTCCAGCAGCCCTTTTGACTTTGCCAAAAGTTTTACCATCAACTCTAATTCTCCCTAAATAATTTTTGAGTCTTTCTTGTTCGAATATTCGAACAGAATCCTCAATAATGTGGTCCAGATTTCTAATATCTGCTCTCAAAACAGAAAATCTGGCCGGATCACCCGCTCTTCGGAGAGTGCGGCATAGCCTGCGACGCTCACGAATAAAGCCTAGAATTCTTGGAGGGAGATCTCCAAGAATTCTGTCTCTAACTCTCTGCTTAGGCACAGATGTATCTATAGCGTGACGAAAAACTTCTCCTAAATTTTCTACACAACTATCAACCTCATCAATTGAAACATTTCTATTAGATGGTAAAGCGCACGCATCTAAACCCTCTCTCAGCCGCCGCCTAAAGCGTCCAACATTTAAGCGATTGAAGTTCAGAAATTTCTGCCCTTCTTGTCTCGCTACATCCCCCATTAATATTTGAATTTGAATCGCCCTGTGATCGGATTCAAAATCAAAAGCCGTCGAAATATTTCCATTGCCGACCAGAGGGAGTCCTGGTGTACTAAGAAATAAATCAAGAAATGAGGCAGATGTCTCATTCGGCCTAGTCGGAATATCCGACCTTATGACAGTGAAATCGGGACAGTCTCTCAGTAGTCTGTCCAAGATTCCTCCACTGGTGTTTCTCACATTGCCTCCCCACGAAAAGTGTTTCGCGTTCAGGTCAGCTCCGATCAAAACTTCCCCAGCTTCATACAAACTAAAAACATGACTTAAATCTTGCGCCCTTAGGGTTTCCTGAGGACGAAGGTACATCGAGACGAAAGCTACAGAGGAGCCATCATCTTTCCATACCCTCACCCCACAGGATTCAATTAGTCCAGATGAGATTGGTATCCGATCACAGCGAATACCATCTCGAATTGCAACAGCGGTACCACCCCCGCGTTGCCCCTCCCTATATTGAATATAGAACCTATATCCCTCTAAACTCAAATTATGAGAAGGACTGAGTCGATGCTCAGCCAAAAGGAGTACATCAGGCCTCCTCTCCTCAACCATTAACTTTAAATAATGCCTCTTTGTTACGGAAACTAAAGAGTTCACATTAACAAAAACTACTTTAAAATTGGACATTGCCATCAATGAAAAGCAACCAAGCAGACATTGCTGCTTGGATACCGGACGAATTTAAAATTTGTTGAAAAATAGGACCGAAGGTCTTAGCTTTTTCGCTCTTTAGACTAAAGTCCGTCCCGAAGAACTGCATGACATTAGCCATATTGCCTGCAGGGACACTATTTGACGGGGGGTTGCTAGGGCGGGGTGCGCTCCAAGCAGAAACTGGAGGTGGGGCTGGGTGAGCACGACCACCTGAGGCTCGGGCATACGAGATGTCGGAGCGAATATTAGACAAGCGCGCTGATCGCGCTTGCGCTTTGGCCTGTTTTTCGGCCCTTTCTCTATCCTTACGCGCCTTTATTTTCAGGCGGTGAGGACAATTTGGGTCGTTGGCAGTGTGCCCTTCGACACCACAGTTAACACAGCCTACCGGCTGCGCAACTTTTTTGACAGTCTTCCCTGTGGAAGGGTCAGTATATTCGACATAAGTCTCCTGACCCTTGGGAGGTACGGCACATTCACGTGGGCCGTGAGTTTTTAGGCATCTATGACATCTAAATGTCATAGTGCAATTTGGGGCAATATGGCCATGGCGCTGGCAATTAAAACACATCACGCCATTTTTCCCTTTATCCTTACGGATAGTGACATTAAAGTCAAAAATCTTTTTTAAATTGTACAGACCTAGTACGTCCGAGCTCTTGGATACGCGCAAGAGCCATAGCCTATACGATATGTTGGCGAGTCCAACAACCTCAACATTTAAACCTGTCCGGTTAGTCAAAAAGTCTTTAACTTCCTCAGGTTTCTCGTCGCTTGAAAGTCCCTCAATGACCAACATATGAGGTAATATCTCTTTCGGGGTGTGGGTATGGAATTTATACCCACGGTCTGTCAAAATTTGCTTGACAGTATAGTACACGTTAAGGCCTTTCACCTTCAACGTGACAACGGACGGACGGACCAAAGTAAATGAGAACTCACCTGGTCGTAAATGTTGGTGGAGGATACCAGCGATCTCCTTGGTACCCACGTTGTAGACCGTGAAAGCCGGCATCGTCTTGCCAGCTACCATTTTCGTTGCAGCAGCTTGGGTTTCTCCAGCGGCAGCAGCTTTCTCCGCACCCTTTTCAGCAACTTTCTTCGATGTTGAGGGTTGCTGTTTATCAATCGCAATCGGCTCTTTCACCTCCTTCTTTTCCAGCCGAACCTTTGGAATTGCCCCTTTGTTGGCCTCCTTCTTCTTCTTTTTCACGACTGGGACGAATTCCCCTTCGTCGTCCGCCATACCGAGGTCTACGGCTACCTCGGCAGCCAAATCGGTCTCCATGCTGGGAGCAGTTTCAATGCTCATTTCAGCGCTTTTAACTTGCGCTAGCTTGACAGCAGCCAGCTCTGCTGCCAAGCACTCCTTTTCTTGCTCCAATCGAGCAATTCGGTCTTGAAGCTGCTTGACCAGGGCCTCAATCTTCATGGAGTCGTATACATTGCAATGGCAGCGTTTTTTACGAGGCTGCCGTTGCACATCAGATTTGATGGAATTTCCTCCATCACTCGTTGCACCATCAGATGCCACAAAATCCGCCATTTTTTGCGTATTTGCCATTTTTGGCTTGACAAATACCAAATCTTCGGTTTTGGCGCCGGCAAAAATTTTTTCAGCAGGCACTGCACTCTCCAAATTTAATTTTTTCTCAGCCATAGTTGATTTGGCCAAAAAACCGCTTTTTTCAATTTTGACGGCGTCAAAAATTTTTGGCACCGGCACTGGAGTGCTGACGGGGTTGGCTATACCCGCCAGCGATCGTCTATTGTGGTCTATGTCAACCACCGCTCGTTCGTTTGCTTCCGTGAACAACACAGCAAAAACCACCACTTGCTGCCTCCTATTCGCTTCTCACTTTTTTCAGGCACCTCCAAATAATTTGCCAATTTTCAGCAAATTTGCCAAAAATAAAACAAAATTTATCTCTTTCTTGCTTTTTCAGCTCAAAAACACTTCAACCAGCACAATATCGTCGCGACCAGTCAATTTTCACTATTTTTAATTCACTTTAACACTTCACGAAAGCACAAGAACGAATGTTTTAACTGCGTCCCTAACGGTTCTATTTATACAAAAATTTCCCTGATCGTCAACCATTTCGACTTAGTTCGTGTTGCTTGTGCCATAGTCGTTTGTGTATATGTGTGCGTGTGTGCGCCCATTTAGTAGACATATATTTGTATTTACGAACACTCACCCTTAATCGTTGATGCTAACACAAAATTTTTCTATAAATACTCGTTTCTGGCGCGGTTTCCGAGTTATTACAGTGTTAACAGTGTTTGTGTGCATACCTAGTGAAGTGAAAAAATTAAAGTGAAAAATGGCTCGTACTAAGCAAACTGCCCGTAAATCGACTGGTGGCAAGGCTCCTCGTAAGCAATTGGCCACTAAAGCCGCTCGTAAGAGCGCACCAGCCACCGGCGGTGTTAAGAAGCCTCATCGTTTCCGTCCCGGTACAGTCGCTTTGCGTGAAATCCGTCGTTACCAGAAGAGTACTGAATTGTTGATCCGCAAATTGCCCTTCCAGCGTTTGGTTCGTGAAATTGCTCAAGATTTCAAAACTGATTTGCGTTTCCAGAGCTCTGCTGTTTTTAATTCTGGTTAAAATTTTAATTATTCAGATTTATTATTTAAATTATTTTATTTTTTTTCTTTGTTTCTATTTAAAATTTTTCGTTTGTATTGTCACATGATGAATTTTTTTCACATTGTTTGTTTAATTGTTTTCTATTCACCTTTTTCGTAATTGGCGGGAAAATGCTTCCCTCCATTTTTCCCCTTCCAAAAAAAAAAATTCTCTTATGTATTAATGCAATATGTTATTTTTGGCGCGAAAAAAATTTCCCCTCAATATTTTTGTTTTTTTTTTTACAGCAAACATCCCCATGAATGAAGAATGAAATGTGCATGTTTTTTCTTTTCCAGCTAATTTTCTACCATGTAAAAAAAATTCTATCTAATTTTATATTTGTCTCTGTCTATGAAAAATTTGATGGGAAATATTTTTTGATTTCTAAAGGCAGAATTTCTCTATTCAAAAACCAATTTTTTTAAAGAAAATTATAAATTAGTATTTTTTAGTAAAATAATTATTAAAATTTTATATTTTGACTAAAAATTAATAGAAAATAGTAAATACTTAATAATCAATAGGAATACAATATTTTTGTAACGTTCGAAAAATTCCATGAAATTTCTTTGTACTCTGCTCTGCCATGAAAGGTAATAGCAAAAACGAAATTATTTTTAATATAATTTTTTTTGCAAAAATTTGACAAAATTATTGTGAAAATTAATAAATAACTGATTTATAAATTATTTTAGAATATTATTAAAGTATAATTAATTTATTTTTGCCAAAATAGTTTATTTTGAAAAAAATTGATGTTCGTCCATTGGTAGTATATGATATTGTAAGGAATTTTTAACTTTTCCAAACAATTAATGACTTTTTATGAATA